AAAAAAAGGTAGCTTTACTGGATATATTCTCGTAGGTCATTGAAACCATAAATCCACTGACTGGCTGTGAATGTTGCTGTTGAGAAGTTCACCTTCAGTCTAATTCATTCATAAGTGACCTGGCATTTCTCTCTGGTTATGTTAAAGCTATTGTTTCCTTTGGTGTTCTGCAGCTTCATTGTCATGTAATTAGGTGTAAATTTCTCTGTCTTTATTCCGATTGGGTGTGTTGGGATTCCTAGAGCTAAAGATGGGTGTCTTTCAACAATTCTGGAAAATTCACACCCTCTATTTCTTTGAATATCACCTCCTTTCCATTCTAATATCTCCTTTTGGAACCACAGTTAGACTTATGGTTTTGACCTTCTCGTTCTATTCCCTGTATCTCTTACCTTCTACTCATATTTTCAATCTCTTCGTGTCTCTGTGAACGCTGAATAATTTCTTCCATTTAACTAATTTACTCTGTCTCCAATGCTGTCTAATCCATCCATTGAATTTTTTTTTCTTTTCACTTCCTTTGTTTATCGTTTCTAGAAGTTCTGGTCCATTGTTTTTCAAATCTGCTTGGTGATTTTCTGGTCTCTTATTTCTTGCTTGTATTTGCACATTTGTTTTTGTTTCTTTCATATACTGAAGTAGCTATTTAAAATGATAGAATTTCATGTCTGGTAATTCCAGAACTTGAAATCTTTGCAGGTCTGATTCTGCGGTCTGTTGGTTCTACTGGCTACTATTCACTGTGTCTTGTTTCCTGTTTTTGTTGTCTTCCTGAGCTGCTTGTTTCTGTTGCAACTTTATCTTCGAGAATTATTTGAGTTAGGGGTTGATGTTGATTTTTCCAGAGAGGATTTGCATGACACCACCAACCAAAAATCACTTTCATTTTCTACCTAAGGGTTTTTTCTGGCTACATAAGTAGCCTGAATTCAAACTGCAAGCCTCTGCGAGATCCAGCTTTTCGTTACAAATTTTTAGGAGAGATTTCCCCCAACTCTGCCCAGCCCCCTGCCAGGTTTCCTTGAGTTCCCATCTGTGTTGTGCTTTTATTTCTCATTCACTGAGGGTGGAGCCTTTTGGAGTCCCCATGGTACAGAGAGACTAGGCTTTTGCTCCTATTTCCTGAATCTTGTGCGGCTGCCGCGGGGAACCTAGAATCTCTAGGGTTCAGCAGGAACCCTCAAGGCAAAAGCCAACCTTGCTGCTAGATAAACGCCCAAGGTTCCTGCTGTTGGTTTGCTTTTGGTCTTTGAAGAATCCTTCCATTTTTCACCAGCCCAGCAATGTGTATACAAGTTTTATATTTAACTTTCATCCAGCATGTTGGTTGCTTCCATTGAGAAGGTCAAGTAGGTATCTGGCTTGAAAGTACATTCTTTCTTCTCTACCATAGCCCTGTGGGGTAACGACTATATCTTGTTCACAGAAGAGTGACCCAAGGCTCAGAGAGGACATGTAACTGGCTATAGTCATGGGATTCGCAGGTGATGGCCCAGGAAGGTGTATGTCCCTCTTCTATCCCAGTTCTGCCTTCCCCCGCCCCAAAATAACTGTTACTTTTTTTTTTAACTTTTTTTTTTTTTTTAGGAATTAGATTTATGCTCACAAAGGATATGAACTCTTACCAGAACACTTTAAATAGCTGGACAGCTTTGTAAAATTTGTTTATGAATCTATTGTTTATCTTCCTTGGGAGAGGAAATGGCTTCTGCATATTTTGTGGCTTGTTTCACTGGCGGTCACCAGCAACTTTCCTGCTTCATTGCCATTCCACAGAGGCCTCCTGGACCCACAGCCAGATCCCAGGGCACCT